CCTCCCTCCCTGACCGACTCCCTCCCTCCCTGACCGACTCCCTCCCTCCCTGACCGACTCCCTCCCTCCCTGACCGACTCCCTCCCTCCCTGACCGACTCCCTCCCTTCCTGATCGACTCCCTCCCTCCCTCTCTTCCTGTTCGACTCCCTCTCTTCCTGATCGACTCCCTCCCTCCCTTCTTGACCGACTCCCTCCCTCCCTCCCTTCCTGACCATTACCCACCCAGGTGGTCCCCCCCAATGCTCCCCTCTTTCCCGACACGACCCACCCACCCCACCCCAACCCCACCCCCTCAGATTCAAATTCAGATTCTTTATTCAGGTAAAGGTACATACATTGAGTTACATAATGATGGATTTAAAGATAGAGATAGTACATACAGTACCTGAAGCCATTAGTACGCATAGCGTTTCGGGCAAGGTGAGGGGGGAAAACACACTTAGACTAAAACTTAATAGTAATTGAGCTTAAAATATAAATTGCGTTAAAAAAAAAGGGGGAGGGGAGGGAACAAGGCAGAGAATAGCAGTTATACAAGTTGGTGAACAAACGGCAGTGATTACAATAGTAAGACATGGGTTGACATTTAGGGGTAAGGTAGGTTACATGGAGTTTATTAGGTAGTGTTTAGTTTTTATCTTAAACTGGTTGAGAGAGGTACCCGGCGTGCCACCTGCACCATACTCACAAATCAGCTGAGGGTTACCCGCGAGCGCACAACAGCACCAAAATGTGTGTATGTACTCTTTGTGGGATTCTCACTTCAATTCTCATCTTATGTTGTTGAAAATGGTATCAATTTGTTCACAATAGAAATTGTTAAAGGGGGTATATTCCTGTATGAAAAGGTGAAGAGCAGGGGTGCCATAGGCACAATCAAAGAACACTGTATAAACATCACAGGTCCACGGTTGTTCAACGTCCTCCCAGCGAGCATAAGGAATATTGCCGGAACAACCGTGGACATCTTCAAGAGAAAACTAGATCATTTTCTACAAGGAGTGCCGGACCAACCGGGCTGTGGTAGATATGTGGGCCTGTGGGCTTCTGCAAGCAACAACCCAGTAGACCAAATACTCACGTCAAGCTTGGCCTCGGGCTGGGTTTGGGGAGTAGAAGAACTCCCAGAACCCCATCACCCCAACCCGTCCTCTTAACAATAACGTCGCTTTTTGCTGGTATGTGCGCTATGGCGAAAAGTGGAAATAATTTGAAATGAAATAGACTCACAAAAGTGACGTACTATCCCGTTTTCTGTTTGAGTCGTTTGGCCTACTCAGAAAGGTTAGGAGAGGAAACTATGTAATATCATGTTTCATGCAAATTCGAAACTTTATGAGAATTTCCTGCCCACCTAACCTACCAGAGAACCCTTAACTTACTGTTGTTGAAAAAAAATCCCAAATTTATTTAATATTTTTTTTTTCATTTTCAAATTAGGTCCACTTTCGGCCATACGGGCAAACGGCTAAAAGCGACGTTATTTTTTAGAGGACAGGTTGATCGGCAAGGTATCAAGCAGGTATTCATATAAAGTCTAAATTCCCAGTGCCTCCCCCTCACCCCAAGGTGAAAGTCAAACAAGTGTTAGCTGTGAGCGAGCACACATTTGCACACAAATGTTTATAATGTTTTTAGTTTGATAACGTCAAATTTCTTGTTAGGCTGTTCATTTTGGTATCAATTTGTTTGCAGTAGAATGCTCTACAGGAAAGAAAGGGTGTGCTGTACATGGTGCAGCACACCCAATGATGATTGTAGACCATGAGTTGAGCATTAGACTGAACCACTCCACCTGCTCCAGGAAAATGTGTTCTGAAATTGCTCAACCGATGTTTTATAGGTGGAGTGGATGGTGGGTAAGCATTACTGCTTTATCCACCCACTATTTCTTCTTGGGTTGGTACAAACTGGAGTATGGTGCAGCACACAGTACCACATCACACGACTTTAACTTATATTTGGTGTCCTTCCTTTTATTATTTCTGAAGCAAACACGACACTTCAGGCCTTTCTGGATGTGAAATAGGGAATGGTTCAATTTTCCGATCAGACGTTCTGGTTTATCAACAATACGAGGGTTTCTCCTAGCAGTAGCACCAGAAAGAATAATCTGACTCTCGTCTTGTGAGTCAGACGATGAATAGTCACGTCGAGGTGAAGAGGGGAATAATGGCCGCCTCACACCTGACGGTCCAAGTGTTGCAACATCGTTGCCAATAGATCTGCTCTTGTGTCCAGTCCCAGTATGTATGTTGTTGTCATTTTGCAAAGGCCACTTCTTAGTCAAAATTCAGTAGCGACTAAATGATGACATTGTGGAACTGTAACAATGCGAGTTTCTTTGTATTGGTTGTGTTGTACAGAGCACCACTTGGTTTCTGAATCCCTCGGGGACAAGACCCGTCGGTTAACATGTAAGTTCGTATATGAGAAATGCAGAAAAAAATAGAAAAATGTATGAAAAACTCTAGGGAAAAATCGACAGGTTCATAGCGTAAATGCGACCGTATTTTGTTTGTACTCACGAATAATTGAAGTCCTGATCCACTTATGTTGATGATCGATGTTGATGAAGCATAGTTATTTACATGGAAGAGGTGGTGGTGGATGTTGATGGTGTTGGGTTGACTGGGTCAACATGCGTTGAGTCAGGTGCAGGTGATGCAATGCGAGCTTTCTTGGAAGCCATTGCAAAAGACTCTTTAACCCTTAAATTGTGCATCGCATCATATGATGCTGTGACCGACTTGCAGTAAATTGAGCATTGCATCACCTGCACCTGACTCAACGCTTTGGAGTACTACGCAAGATTTAAATGGCCCGCGGATACACGGGGTTCACCACACCTTCATCGGGGCTCTTGTAAACAGACGCCATTTAAAAAAAAAAATTCGTGGGCCAAATTCCCGGGTGTTAGGGGCTTCAGTATTGAGTGAGCTACCAAGCCTGACGCACGCAGCATGAGCTCACAGCACTGCTGTTCAGCTTGTGACTACAGCATCGCCTACAAATGCCATAATATACTTGTTCATGATTTTATGTAGCGATGATTACAGAAGACCCCTGACTGTGATAAAACTGACCAGGATTCTGATAATAGCAGGATTGTGGTGATATTTAGCGCTGTGCTCCATAGAGGGAGGAGTAATGCTGTGGGAGGGAGGGTGGTAGCATTGTCTTCTGACTGTGTGTGGCCACCTTTTATTGACTGCACTCACCATTCCAGCTTAGTGGTTCACTATGGTGAACACAAATGTAGATACTTATATATATAACGTGTGTATAGAGGGTATAAACAGCAATAGGAGTAGGTTGGAAGCCGCCATTTTGGTGAGGGAGGTGGCGTCGTCTGCACGACTTATCATGATGTTTACTGGTGACCACTATGGTCTTTGGGCACCATACCAGTTTACTTGTACAAGTATGGTGAATAAAACAGGTAGATACTTATATATAATGTGTGTATATAGTGTAATAACACCAAAAACAGTATTGTTGGAGGAGAAATATTAGTGCGTCTGGCCTTGAGGGCGGGAGCCACCAGCTGACTGTGTGAGATCCTATGTCTTTGTGCCTTTACTCACCATACAAGCTTAGATGTACAGTTATGGTGAACAAAACATGTAAATACTTATATATAACGTCTGTATATAAAAGCAAAAACAGTATGGTGGGTGGAGAATGGTGACAAGTCAGTCAGGTGAGGTGAGGGAGGGAGGGAGTGGCAGCCAATGGCAGGCTGCCACTGGCTGCCATTGCCACTGCCACTCAGCATACCAACTTAGTGGTTCGTTATGGTGAACACCAATGTAGATACTTATATATAGCATCTGTATATAGTGAATAAAAGCAAAAACAGTATTGTGGGAGGAGAATGTGGGTGAGTCAGGTGACTTGAGGGAGGGAGGGAGGGAGGGAGGAAGTAGCAGCCAGTGGCGGGCTGCCACTGCCACTCAGCGTGCCAAGTTAGTGGTTCGTTATGGTGAACATGAATGTGGATACTTATATATAATGTCTGTATATAGTGAATAAAAGCAAAAACAGTATGGTGGGAGGAGAATTTGGACGAGTGAGGTGTTGAGGGAGGGAGTGAGTGGGTGGTTGGTACACAGCGGTCACTCCTCATTACTTTTTGACTCATAATAGCAACTTAGTGGTTCGTTATGGTGAACAAAACATGCAGATACTTATATATAACCTGTGTATATAGTGTAATAACTGACAAAGTATTTGTTCACTGTTTGATGAACATAATTGAATCAACAATATGCACACCATATTTTTGAGTACAGCGATGATTCACTCATTTTATTATATAAATATATCATACTACACACTATTGAATAATATTGCAGCAAAAAAAAACTACGAAAAATCAATCAGAGACATTGAAATAATTGGGTAATTATCTCTTTGTGACAACTCCGGCCAGACCGCCTGGGACGCACGCTGAGTCAGCGCCTGTTTTTTGCCAGACTTCCCCGCCCTGTAGCGGGCAATATATGCCACTTACAATTGTTTTATTATTTTTCCCATGATCAGTGAACACAAATTAACATGTTGGGAAGAATTTTTGTTTTTCTCTTTGGTATGCGCCTGTGGGTGTCAAATGGTATATAGCCATGCGCCATTTAAGGGTTAATTGACAGTCGTTTCATTCGCTTGGCTCTTGGTTTTAGAAACTTCATATACAACTTGTACTGACTCATCATGTCCTTAGTTTCAAACTCGCTGTAACTTGTGTACATAAATGCCAGAATGTCTTCAAAAATGTTATGATTTTTTTCCATATTACATTTTTCCTTTAACGTTTCTTAATCCTCTTCCTCTCCATCGTCATTGCACTCTTCTGGCTATTTTGCTGTACATACTAATTCTATAATTTCATCATCAGTCATGTTTTGATTGTTTGGGGGTTGTTCATCAAAATATATCCATCTATCTATGTCATCTTCTATTGTTTCAGTCACCAGTTCTGCTCTAAGCTCAGGGGACTTAATCCCCTTGACATAGGCTAGGAGTTCCTCTTAATTTTTTCCTCTCGCTAACTTTCTTCACTGCAAATCCTTCGAAATCTGCTTCGTCATCTTCCTCAGGAAACAGACTTGACGTGGGCCAAAGTTTGTTCCAACCATTTCTTAGTGTTGTCTGCTTTATTCCTATTGCACTAGCAATAGTCCAGATAGCTGACTTTATTGTGAAGACTTTATAAAAGTCCTTAATTGTTCCAAGCTGATTATTTAGACGTCTGGCAAACATCATCTTGTAGTGGTGTTTAAGGTTGTTAATTAATCCTTGCTCCATGGGTTGGATCACTGAAGTTGAATTGGGTGGCAAGAACATTCCAATAATATTACCATTTACTAGCTCATCACCTCGTGGATGCGTTGAACTGTTATCTAGCAGCAGCACAACTTTGCTGTTTTCCGGGAGACCAACACTTTTCAGGTGCTCCTTCACCTCAGGTACAAAGTTCTTATTAAACCACTCGACAAATATTACTCGAGACATCCACATACTTGGCTGGTCCTTATAAATCACAGGGAGGCACCTGGCTGACTTTAAAGCCCTGGGTTTTTTACTAATTCCAATCACAAGTAATTTTAATTTGTGCGTGCCAGCTGCATTTGTACAGTACCACAAAGAAAATCTCTGTTTGTTCTGTTTATAACCACCTGAAGGATCGTCCTCACCACTATGAGCCATTGTGTCTGTGGGTAGCATACGCCAGTACAAACCTGTCTCATCAGCATTATAAATTTGCTCTGGAGATATATTTTGTTCCTGTACCATCTCCGCAAATTTACTTACATACTCATCAGCACCAACAATATCGGCAGATTGTCTTTCACCATGCGCTTTAATGAACCTAATGCCATGACAGGTTTTAAAGCCTCTGAGCCACCCATCACTGTATACGCACTTTTGAGTAATTTTCATTGCTCGGTGAAATTCACGCGCCTTTTCCACGAGCAACCAGCCTGCCACTGGCTTCTTTGTCACCTCACGTCTCTGTTTGTACCACTCCCACACTGCGTTATCAACACTCTCCACATTTGCTTTACTTAGTACCTTTTTATTTCGTATTGCCTTGTCATTTTCACTTGTAGAGAAATAGTAAAAAATGATAGGTTTAGCCTTAAGAAGATCAAAAACAGTACTTTTACTTATGCCGTAATTAGCGCACACGACACTTCTCGGGACACCGCTCTCCACCTTCTTAATTATTTAAACTTTGTTCTCAAGTGTCATCCGTGACCTCTTTCTTTTATGTAAACCGCTTGTAGATGCTTTCACTGACACAATACGTGCATTTGGAGTCGACACGGTGCACGGATGTTCCTGGATTGTGCCGATATGTAAAACAAAGTCACGGAATGAACACGAATCTGTTGACAAATTCAAACGATGAGAACAACGGGCCGTGAACCTGTGACGTCACAGGGTAGCAGGCACAAGAGTGGTGGTGCCCGACACGGTCATTGGGCAAACTAAACCATCTCCCACCCACCCACCAGCGGTCCGTCGCACCACGGGCCGGTTCGATGGTTGGCAGATCGCTTCCTCACCTGAACTTGGTTCGTGTAGGGTAACCCCAACCCCGGCTGGCGTGGAGCTTGGTGGACTACTTCCTACCCTAACTTAGTTTGTGTAGCGTGACTCCCCCATCCCAATCAGGATGGGGGAGTCATGGAATGAATAACTAAAGTTCGGGAACCAATAACATAACTATATCAGATAACTAAAGTTCGGGAACCAAGTGGTGCTGTATATTGGTATAACACCAAAGCATTATGGATAGCCATATGCATAAGGTAGAATGTGATTTTCTTTGTCCACTTGTGACTTTTCTGTGTGAAATGGTAGTATTTGACCATTTGACTGAAGTGATCAACACCTTTCATGCATTTATTGTAGTCACAGATTGCATTTGGTTTGTTTATAGTGACCTGTTGCAAGGAAGATGTTACGTCAGATTTGTGTACGTGTTTTATTCGTTCCACTTCCTGTGTGTGTGCATTGTAGCAAGTTGTGATGAGTGAAATAACTCGCTTATCTTTCCACAGAATTATAAAAGTATTGTCCTTGTGTCTGATTAGAGTTTTATTTACTGCAGGTTTACCCTTTGCTTTGTGCTGAGGATCTTTAGGTGTAACCTATAAGCATGTCAATCGTTGTCTTCCCAATTCTTGCATACACCTTAAAATCATAGATGTAGTGAGTTTGGGATTCTGCTAGCACGTACAGCTTCACTCCATACTTATCAGGTTTATAAACCTTAAAAGGTAGGCAGCCCCCTCCATGACATTGTACCTTCATCCAAACACAGATTTTTCTGAGGAATGTACTGTATAATGTTTTATATTTATTTCTGGGGGGAGGCCCGTCTGCTCCCTGGAGCTATCCAGGCTGAATGGATGTGTGTAACTTTCTGGCATCGGTCAACGTGCACAGAGTTCTTGCCTAACGGGGACCACGAGGCAGAACCTGGGCCCCTCGAGAGAGGCACGAGGAGCAATGGCCTATAGAAACCCCCCGTGTGGTTGAGAGCAAACAAACCTAAAACTATTGTTACCGAAAGCCGAACGAGTGGACAGAACTCCCAAAACGAAAATTAGCAAAGGAGCAAGCACATCATCATCACGTTGCCTGGTCGCTATCTGCACAACCCCCACTCCAGAGATCCACCCTGTAGTTCTTGGGCCGATGTGCCACCGGCGTGGTCTTGTGCCTCTGGCTCCAGCGATTTGTCTCAGAATTTGTGCCTTGTGGTGTGGACTCTAATGGTGGTGTGTGAACCAGGAGTAATATTCTTCAGTACTTGGGCTGCATGCACCTAGGGTCATCTTTTCAAGGTGCCCTGCAAATACTACCATTTGGGCTTGGGTCCATAGGTTTTGTCACTGGTAGGGGCACGGGGTACTGCACACTAGTTTTCATCTACAGCGGGCAACTCTGTTCCACCTGGGTACGTTTGTCCTCTTGCGGGGTTTTGCTTTTGTTTTTTCTGCCTGGTGAGGGGGTCTGCCTTGGTGGTTGCCCCTCCTGTGGTGGTGTGTATATATCTATTCTCAATTTGTGTGTGGTTGGTGGTACCCCTTGCTAGGTTTCCATGAGTGGACATGTCCCAGGGATTCAGGTATTAGCAGATTGTTTGGTAGTCTTGGGTGCCAGTTGACAGCACCCTGCCTGGGCTTTCCTTAGTGTGTTAATAAGGCTTAGAGCCCTGGGAAAGCCCACAGGGGCTCCACAGTCTGATGGACATGACCCTCGAGTCCCCTGTTGAGAGTCGGGGGACTCGAGGGTCCCCCGACTGGAAGGAGTCAGGGGACCCCCGACTGGAAGGAGTCAGGGGACCCCCGACTGGAAGGAGTCAGGGGACCCCCGACTCGAAGGAGGGAATCACCCTCCTTCGTGTGAGTCGGAGGGTTGCTCCATCCCCTCGTCTCTGGGGGACAATCACTGGTCGTGCCTCTCTCATGCTGGCTGTTGGGTCGGTGATTGTTTTGACCCAGAGTCGTGCGACATTTGTTGCCTCTACGTGCTCCAGTTCACCCAAGCTACTGATCACGATATGAGGGTGTAGGCGGCAGCTGCATTGCTTGCTAGGTTCAGGTTGCTGCAACGCGCTAGGTTAATCGCTTCCCCGGATGGGCCGAGACTGCCCCATTTTGGTTTTAGGGACTCGAATTTGGGGTGGGAGTCGCTTCGGCTCTAGTTCCGTCCTTCTCCCTTCATCCTTCCCCTTCTGTCATCCCTCCGGTTCCTTCCCCTCTTGCTTCCGGCTGAGAAGAGTCCGAGGGTTTCGGAGTCGGGGCAGGATTTAGTTAGTGACGGATGGTGGGAGGCAGGGTTGGTGGGTGGCACGGTTGGTGGGAAGAAGTGATGGTGGGCGGCAGGGGCCTGCCGGCCCGTGCCGTTCACGCCGCTCCCGCGGGATGCGGTATTGGGTTTTTTGTGCTTCTCTGCTTGCATGTTGACATTTGGTGTTTGCTTCTTCCTTGGAATGCACTTGGGCCCTGGCTCTTAGATTGTTTTTGCCCTTTTGTCCGTTGGCGTTTGCAGAGTCTGCGGCGATGCAGGATCTGCAGGCGGCTTTGGCTAGTTGCTGTCCAATGTTGGAATTGTCGGTCCTCTGGGAAAACTAGTGGGGGGCCGTCCCGGAGGGGTTGTGCCAGGGCTCGGGGTTCTTTCTCTTGTGCTGTCAGGTTTGGTGCCGTCTGTTTCTGTTTGGTGCGGGGCTGACCCTTTGCACCGTTTGGGTGCTCGTAAGGTGCGTAAAGCTCTTTTGCGGTTCGTCCCGTCGATGCGGAGGTGGGGTTGAGGCACGGTCTATTCGCTCGTGCCTGGTCCCACGATTGGTGGGGTTTTGGGGTTGTTTTGTGTGGCCAGTAATTACCTAAGTGTAGTTACAGGATGAGAGCTACGCTCGTGGTGTCCCGTCTTCCCAGCACTCTTTGTCATATAACGCTTTGAAACTACTGACGGTCTTGGCCTCCACCACCTTCTCACTTAACTTGTTCCAACCGTCTACCACTCTATTTGCGAAGGTGAATTTTCTTATATTTGTTCGGCATCTGTGTTTAGCTAGTTTAAATCTATGACCTCTTGTTCTTGAAGTGGCAGGTCTCAGGAAATCTTCCCTGTCGATTTTATCAATTCCTGTTACTATTTTGTACGTAGTGATCATATCACCTCTTTTTCTTCTGTCTTGTAGTTTTTGCATGTTTAATGCTTCTAACCTCTCCTCATAGCTCTTACCCTTCAGTTCTGGGAGCCACTTAGTAGCATGTCTTTGCACCTTTTCCAGTTTGTTGATGTGCTTCTTAAGATATGGGCACCACACAACAGCTGCATATTCTAGCTTTGGCCTAACAAAAGTCATGAACAATTTCTTTAGTATATCGCCATCCATGTATTTAAATGCAATTCTGAAGTTAGAAAGCATAGCATAGGCTCCTTGCACAATATTCTTTATGTGGTCCTCAGGTGATAGTTTTCTATCTAGAACCACCCCTAGATCTCTTTCTTTATCAGAATTCTTTAAAGATTTTTCACATAATATATAGGTTGTGTGGGGTCTATGTTCTCCTATTCCACATTCCATAACATGACTTTATTAGCATTAAATTGCAGTTGGCAAGTGGTGCTCCATGTACTTATTTTGTCCAGGTCTTCTTGAAGGGCATGACAATCATCTAAATTTCTTATCCTTCCTATTATCTTAGCATCATCAGCAAACATGTTCATATAAATCTGTATACCAACTGGTAGATCATTTATGTAGACAATAAACATCACTGGTGCAAGAACTGAACCCTGTGGTACTCCAGTTGTGACATTTCTCCATTCCGATACATTGCCTCTGATTACTACTGCCCTCATTTTTCTGTCAGTCAGAAAATTTTTCATCCATGTTAGAAGCTTACCTGTCACCCCTCCAATATTTTCCAGTTTCCAGAACAACCTCTTATGTGGAACTCTGTCGAAAGCCTTTTTTAGGTCCAGATAGATGCAGTCAACCCAACCATCTCTTTCCTGTAATATCTCTGTTGCTCGATCATAGAAGCTGAGTAAATTCGATACACAGGATCTTCCAGATCGAAAACCATACTGTCTGTCTAATATTATATCATTTTTCTGTAGGTGTTCTACCCATTTAGTTTTGATTAGTTTTTCCAATACTTTCACTATTACACTTGTCAATGATACAGGTCTATAATTGAGAGGGTCTTCCCTGCTGCCATTATTGTAGATTGGAACTATGTTAGCCTGTTTCCACACGTCTGCTA